AAAAAAACCAAGAGAAAACAATAACAATAACACCAGTAAAGGAATATACGAACGCTATTACAATGCCGCCGCTCCCGACCGGACCCGGACCCAGGCAGCCCGCTCCCCGCCGCGACTTCCTGCCCCCTCCCCCGGCTAGCTCCCCCCTGCCAACCTGGGCATGGGTCACATGGCATGGAATACCTGTATCCCCTGCTGGCTCCTTGGGAAAATTAACCCCATCCCTGCCAGAACCAAGACACTCATAAACTATGTTTCCTCCTACGCAACATAGCAACAAAATTGTTTATCCTGTTTTACTGTATAATCATTATGATTTTGCATCCATGTTCATTTTGGACCCGATGTTTCTTCTTCGATGCCTAGTGGAAAGTTTATTCTCTGCTTCTGTCGTAGTGCTTGCCTTAGAAAATGCTGGGGAATTTTAGAAGCAATCTTTGAGTGGAGGAAGCTGGCTACAAGTTATAGGAAACAGAAAGCATTAGACTGCTTTTGGTTTTGAAAATATGGTCAGCAACTTGAGGATTTTCTTTTAAAAACAAAACCCAGAAATTAATAATGTTTTTCTTATACTTCATAGATTTTAATTTGATCTATTGCATCTGAGGACAAAATCTGTTATACCAGCTTTTGGAGGGCTTTCATCCATTGCTTCTTGAAAATACCCCTAGTAACTCTTCATGTTTAATCCTCTTGTGCTCTGAATGACACTGAAAAGCTAAGCTTTGTTCTGCAGTCTGTGGTGGCATCATGAAATGTGATGAGAGAAGCAAGAAGCTCCAGCTGCTAATAATACCAGCATCTTGAAAATGTTTTTAAAAAAATAGGTCTACTGAATGTATTGAAATAAAAGTCTAAAGGCTTTCCAGGTGGATGATCACATCATATATAGCTTTTTCATAAGTTTCAATGGCTTGTTAATGAGAAACCGATTTTCAAATCCATTGCATTCACTTGGAAGACAGCACAGTACTTATAGATCAAAATATTTATATAACTGAAGGAAAACCGATCAGAAGCTTGTTTGGCAGACTTTCAGGCTTCCATCTGTATATGTCCAGTTGTCACCAATCAAATAAATGGCTGTAGAATACTTAGGCTGATTTCAGATTTAAAGAAAAATCTTGACCTCACAAATAGAAAAACCTTCGTTGACCAAAGCCAAGTTTTTATTTCTTTTCTTTGACAACTTTCCCCTCTCCCTGAGGGGAAATCCTGAGACATGAAATAAATGTGTGGATCCATATTCTAGTACTCCATCAATAGCAGACCAAACCTGACAGGTATAGCCTAGGGAGGAAAGAGAAGCTTTCATAACAGCTAAGTAGCACAGCCTGAAAGGTGAAATAAGACAAGTTGAATAAGCATTTTAAAACAGGGAAGGAAAAAGCAATATTATAGATAGGAAGGATCCACTATTTTGTTGTTTTGTTGTTGGGTTTTTTTTGAAGGTACCAGTAAATTAACACTAAAATCTAGTTTCAAATGTGGACCAAAATTGAAATATGGAAATATTAATCAAACTTTAAAGCCATAAGAGTTAACATCTTTAGCAAAACCAGTTGTTGGGTAGATTTATTGGTTTCTGGCTGTTGGTAACTTATGTTTTTGTGAAAGATGTTTATCCCTTTAGAATCCTATTTTTTTTGTTATTGGCCAAGTTTTCTCTCCTGTCTTAGTTCTGAGGCTCCAGGGAGAAACAAATATATTTCCATTGTATGGGGAAACTGTAGCTGTGGTTATAGACTCAGGTTTTTTTCTCTAGGGATGCTCTGTCTCACTGCATGGAATGAGAGATGAGGCAGAGCCAGTAGAGCAGAGATATATGCACTGAAGTCTGCCACAGAGAAGATGAGTAACCCCACCACTGGCATGTGGATGCACAATAGACCATATGTAGCTCTTCTGTATTCTCCTGAGGGGTTTGAAGAACTTTCTTTCGCCCTTTGGCTTTCATAATAAGAGCGAAGAATACATGTGAAAGTTTTGTACTTCTGTTGTGATTAGCTCCATATACACAGAATACCCTGAAAGTACCACCACTGTGGGAGATGAAGGACAAACCAGAGCAGTAGAGAAGGTTTAAACCAGATATTCCAGAGTAAATACCTTCAGATAAGTATGCTTGTATGAATTTTCATAAGAGAATTGATATGACTGTCTACATTTTGGTACAAACCATTTGGTTTGCAGTACTACTGCAACTGTTAACTTTCCTGATGCATGAGGATGTGCTGCCTCTGATGGCTGAATGTGGTTGGATTTATTCACTTAGTTTAATACTCCTAGTTTTTTTACATGTACAGCCCTAGAGGATGAATTCTTTAGTCTATTTCAGTAATACACACAAGTATGAATAACTTTGCATAAGAAATTCAAGTTTTGCCATACTTGCTAAAGTACCTTAATTCCACCTGTGAGATGTTTTCTCTGGGGAATACAGCATAATTTTCATAGAGTGACCGTTCCTAAGCTAGAAAATTACCTAGTAGTGCAACCACACTAATACAGCTCTGCCACTGTGAATATCTATTTGGACTGCAGTGGTGTTTGACACATGTTACTTAGTAGAGTGACTTAAATCAGTTTGTTTCATGGAAAGTCATGAGGCTATTCCTTGGACAGAGAGGATTAAGTGGGAAGTTCCATTTCCACTTGTGGCCAGAGTGGAAAGATGAGTTTTCTGGCCAAAGTAAGGTCAGAAGAATTATGGAAATGGAGGCAAAGCAGGGACCTGAAGAGATGTCCTACTGTAGCTCATACCCTTGCACTGCTGGAAATTTGATTACGCATATCCCATCACTATTGTGACAATTATATACTGTTGCACACATACTTATACAGCTGTACCTAAATCATGGTACTAAGTATTCCTGTTCTGACTGGTAGTGTTTCCAAGCAATATTGCTTGAGGGTGAATGACTATTGAAGGTATCAAGGAGAAATCAGGCTGTAACTGCTAGTAATTCCAAGGGGAAAATACACATTCAAGTTTGTTCTGACCACTTGTTTTGGGTTTTTTTCCCCCCTTAACAGAGACAAGGAACCGGAGCTACAAATGGAAAAGACAAGACATCTGGTGAGAATGGTAAGGGTAGACTGTATTTCTTGATGGAGAATATTGAGTCAAACTGAGCCAAAATACTTTTACTGTAATGATAGATGTCGAGTAGCAACGGCCCTGTTTTCATATCTTATCTTTTAAATGTGTTTTAAAAATTGGAAGGGCTTCAGTGACCATTCTGTGATTCTGTGTGATTCAGTGGGATTGTTTTCTTTAATAGATCATTTGAACATACAAATATAAACTAGAGATCTGATTCTGAGCTTGTACCATGGTAAGCCAAAGGACTCTGTAGAAGGCAGTGCAGATACAAATGAGGCTAGAAAAAGACAGTGTCAGGTATGTGCAAAAAGGACACCAAGGGACTAGGTTACGTATTATAAGCAGCTGCTATGTGAATGGGCAAGGTGGAAAAAAAAGTAAACTAATTACAAAGGATATGCTCATAAACATAGTTTCTGTGGTCTGATTCATCTCACTTAATTTTAGGCCTATAACTAAGGTACCAACGTTAGAAGCCACTTGCATAGAGCTCATTTGAGTGTTGTTTGACACAGGAAATGGATGGAGCTGTTCACATGGAAGAACCATATAGCAAATAGGCTTCTAGCTTTGTCACTCTACCTGAGTGAATCTGGACTCATGCTCCACTGCTTTAAGGGGTGAGTCATTGCTTTTTTGGCCTTCATCAAAGGGGCTGGCAGGAACCAATTTCTGCCCCTTAAGTGGCACAAACAATTCTAATTAGAAAAAGTTGTTGTGTTTTTGTTTAACTGAAGAAAATCAAACTGAATTTTCAGTGGAAAACAGCAATTGGGTTTTTTTTAGCTGAAATCTCCTTTTATTTCCTATAGGAGGCAGAAATGCTTTACACACAAATGATCACATGATTAAAATCCAGTGACCACCAGAAAGCTTTTTCAAAGGAAAGCATTTTGACCAACTTTAATTTTATACCTAGCTGAATGTGAGGCAACATCAGTTTGTAGACATTCATGAATGGGATGAGGATTGAACTCTACAAATGTGCTATTTGCTTCTGTTTGATCATCCAATTCTAACTAAAAGAATATGTTCTCGTAGCCTGTCCTGTGTACTGAGAAGCAGGAAGAATGTAAGTATCTTTTGTGAGAAGCCAAGGGTTTTCAGAGGTAGGGTATTTGAGCAGTTATTTTTGGATATACGTTTTGGCCTTTACATACTGGTCAGAACAGAATTTTTGGCCCCTTTGAGGCAACATATCCTCAAACATTAAGAGAGTTCTTTATGCTTAGTTTTCCTATTACAGAGAGCTGACTTTCCCATAAGGGCTGTTTGCATAATGTTACAGTAAATGAAATCTGTAGATGATGTTCCCAATATGATAAGACACAAATTAGAGTGGAAAAAAGAAATAAATATTTTGGCTTGTTACAGTGTCTTGAATTAGTGGGAACAAATGTACCCTGACAGCAAAGCTATTTGCATTCTCAAGTTAACAGGAAAGGAAAGCAAGCAAAATTATGTCAGCCATTTGGGCAGCATGGGAAGCATGTTTTTCTCTGTGCTGTTTGAGCACTTTATGAACTGACCTCATTTGCCTTGAATTTCTTCACAAATAAAATTGTCCTGTTGTCAAGTTTAGCTTAGATTTACTGGTCCTGCAGCCTTTTAAAAGCCAATTATTTTTTTTCTCAAAGGGACTTCTGAGTGAGAAAGTGCTGCATCATTGATTAACAAATATATATGATTCTAGCTGTAGCACAGTGTTTTTTATATAATATAAACAGGCTGATGTGCAGTTAATCTTAGACAAATAGATACTAATTATTTTTTGTAATGAAATTCTAACAAAAAACCTGTCACCTACATAAAATAGAGGAGCAGCAGGGGAGATGGAATAGGGTCCTCTGTCCCCAATCCACATGCTTGCATGAAAATAAAGCAGAATCCAAATTTTGAACCTGAGATTGAATTCTAAGTCAAAGCAGCAAAAATGTATAGCTCGTTGTCCTTATTAGCTCTGTGTAGTTAGAACTCAAGCAGAAGTGATTTATTCCTCTGAAAACTGGGGTGTGCTGTAAACCTACATACACAATAAATCCTCTGTTACATGATTTTTGGCCAGAAGTCTGCAATTTGTCCATGTCTTAAACTTTCATTGTGGCTGTTATCAGCCTCTTCAGATGTTTGCTTCCCTGTCAAAAGGAAGCTTTCTCTCATGTTGAAAATGGGGGTAGAAACCAAAATCCCTTTCATCTTGTTAAAAAAGGAAAAAAAAAAAAGTCATGCTATGAAAATGTCTGCAAAGGCAAACTTGTCTGGTCACCATCCTTGCTCTTGATTACAAGATCAGGAAAAGCTGCTGAAAACTAGCCCTAACAGTAGAGACAATCAGCTGTGTTCAGGGTTTTTAATTCACACAGTGGAGACACTGCTATGGGTCCAGTTTTGTTTGTGCATTGTTTGTAGAAAATGAATTTTGTGCCCATCTCTAGGATGTCTCAAAACTGGAGGAAAAAAAATGACCATGGCAATCAGCATTCTCCCTCTTTGAAGATGTGTTGCATTGCTGTCACTGTAAAGCATTCAGGGAAATGAAATCTCTGAATATTCCTTTTATAGTAGTGATAGTTTTGGTAAACACTTGTGAATGCATGCTCTTGTTTGACCTTTGTTAGATAGCAACATTCTATCCTTAGTTGTATTTAGTTCTGACCACCACAGCAGTGGTCTCTCTTAGCTAGCCTCCCTTCCAGTGGAGGGCTTTATCACCCAAAATGCAGGCTTAGTCCCAATCTCTACTGAACTGGCACTGCCTTGTTCTAGCATCCTTGCTTGTTGGTTCAGGGGAATAAGCAATGGAAAAGACTGAGCTTCAGAAAAGCCAGTAGGGTGGAGCAGTGACATCCCACAGTACAAGAATTTGTGATAATGGGACAAGAAAATTCCATACACAAACTATACTGGTTGTGATGTTGATGAAGACTGTACCTACATGGGACCTTCACTCATCAGCAGTTATCTTCCCTCAGATGCCTTTTTGAATAGTCTTCCAGACTGCTGGGTGGTAAGGTGTAGGGGACAAATCTCCCTCTGCTTGTCTTTCAGAGCACTGGGAAGAGAGCAGTACTATCCCCATGCACCCCCTGCTATATGAATCTGACTTGGTCTAATAGAGTCAGTGTGGGATAAGAAGCTGTAATTTCATTTTTTCCTCACCTGGTTTGATTACTCTGGCCTATCATATTTGCAAATGCATCCTAAACGAAAATAGGATGTTCCTACCTTACTATTCTTACTACCTTGGCAATGTCACAAAGTTCCTTTGTAGGCTAACACTTGTCGCTTCTCATTCTGTTTCACATTACCTTGTGTGTTTTTGCTATGTAATTTGCAAGCTGGTATACTATCTACTCTACAGCCTTGCACAACTGGCAGGGAAATGATTACAGAATCACAGAATGGTTAGGGTTGGAAGGGACCTCTGGAGATCATCTAGTCCAACCCCCCCACCAGAGCAGCGTCACCTACAGCAGGTGGCACAGGACAGCATCCAGGCAGGTTTTGAATGTCTCCAGAGTGGGAGACTCCACAACCTCTCTGGGCAGCCTGTTCCAGTGCTCCACTACCCTCAAAGTAAAGAAGTTCCTTCTCATGTTAAGATGGAACTTCCTATGTTCAAGTTTGTGCCCATTACCCCTTGTCCTATCACTGGGCACCACTGAAAAAAGACTGCTCCCATCCCCCTGGCATCCTCCCGTTAAGTATTTGTAAGTATTAATAAGATCCCCCCTCAATCTTCTTTTCTCTAGACTAAAGAGACCCAAGTCCCTAAGCCTTTCTCCATATAAGAGATGTTCCAATCCCCTAATCATCTTTGTTGCCCTTTGCTGGACCCTCTCCAGCAGTTCCCTGTCTTTCTTGAACTGGGGAGCCCAGAACTGGATGCAGTACTCCAGATGCGGCCTCACCAGGGCAGAGTAGAGGGGGAGGATGACCTCCCTCGACCTGCTGGCCACACTCTTCTTGATGCACCCCAGGATGCCATTCGCCTTCTTGGCCGCCAGGGCACATTGCTGGCTCATGGTCATCCTGTTGTCCACCAGGACTCCCAGGTCCCTCTCCACAGAGCTGCTCTCCAGGAGGTCAGCCCCCAACCTGTACTGGTGCATGGCGTTATTCCTCCCCAGATGCAGCACCCTACACTTACCCTTGTTGAATTTCATCAGGTTTCTGTCTGCCCAGAGAGAAATTGCATCAGAACCAATTATTCCTATCTTCAAATTTAGAATTGCTTTTCTTCCTATTAATAGATCTCATCCTCTCTTCTAAAAGTACAAAAGGCCATGTGATTATTAATTGATATTTGTTAATAACTTTCTTGGAAAATCAGACTTATTATTCAGCAATATGAATTCTTATAATAACAAAATAAGTGTTTTCATATAATGAATTCTACAACTTCCTGGGTCTGAGTGAAATTAAAATGAATGTTTTCCATGAGCTGACATGTCATGGTGGGTTAGGCCTACATAGTCATGGCTAGATGGTTAGTTGTACTGAACAAGTGAAGCTTTTCTGTTCAGTCTCTACTAATTCTCAAGCATTTGTCTTGTCAGTGTATGATCTCTGCTTTGGGATGGTCAGAAAACTATGAATGGATAAATGCCCTGCATTTCCTCCTCTCCATGCAGTACATCATGGGATGACTCTACATAAGAATAAAGAAAAAGTAGAGTTAATAAAGTAAATTCTGATCTTTTACATCTAAAATGTAGTTGTTTAAACTCACTTGAATCGGAATGCTTCCAGAAAACACTAACAGTAATAGTAAAGAATTGGAAAACAATCATGCATGGAAGAATAGAGATATCTTTCTAGTAAGCTTTCTGGTAGAGGGATATGCATCTTGCAGCATAATCAACAGGCCATTCACCCATTTCAGCTACTCAAGGAATCTGGGAAACTCTGCACTCTCTGCACACTGCACTGAGGAATAAAGACTCTTGCTAGGTCTGACAGAGTGAATAATCATCTTCATA